CCAAATCGAAGAAGCTTACCCAACTAGAAGAGGATATCATTGTTCGATACGTTGTTGAGCTATATGCGCGTGTTGGACAGCAACAGTTACAGGCTCGAATAGGCATAGACCAACCAGGTGACACTGCATCAATTGAGGCACAAGATGAAGCTTGAATTGGCTGTCTGAACCATGCGTCATGTGTGTGTGTATCTTGAATGAACCGAGCGCTTCGGGACCCTCGCCAGACCCTGCTTCTGGGTGGGTGACGAGTCTTCCACGCTTACTGCATTGGGCAACAGAGCCCAGGCCCTGAATCCAGGTGCCAAGGAGCCAGTTCAGTTCAACACGGCAACTCAATTTCCAGTCGCTTGGTGAAGTATAGGTTTAATGGTGTGCATTAAGTTATTTCCAGCATAGTTATCAATGTTTTGTGGTACAGCCCTTGAAAGCTGGTTGTTGGCATCACACTCAGCTCAATCGGGTATGGTGTAGCGGTAACATCGTTGACTCTCACTTCTTAGGAGTGACTTGTTTCTCAACAGCCCCGGGTTCGACTCCCGGTATCCGAGTCAACTTTACGTCATTTTTTCGTTCCCGCCCCAATGCGGACAAGGGACGAGATCCAACACTCTTTGAAGTTTTGACTACATAGGTGCCAATGATCGCATGTTAACATATATCCTGTCTAGTTCTAATCAATTCCTGTGTATGTTCAGCGTACGATTAGACCTCAATGGAATATGCTTTCGTGCGTATAGTTAACCGCTTGCCGAAAGAGTCAAGGGATTGACAATAATACGAGGCATAATGATATTCTGATCATTGCCGAGGATGCCTGGTATCCAAAGTTTGCATGGAGAATTTCAGGAAGTTCCAGGGGCTGGATAGTCATTCAGGAATCCATTCGGGGATCTTGTACGTGCAGGAAATCCAAATTTTCAGTTGGGCAATCTTCATGCTCTTGAAGTGTCAGTTGAACGATTTGAGGTGAATCAGTTGTCGTTTTCCTGTCGTTGATTACTAGTATACCACAGCCACCTCCCCTTCGTTCCTTCATCCGCGCAGGTGAAAATGTGAATAGTAGTAAGGCGAGTTAGAGGACGAGAACTGGGGGGGGGAAGGACCAGGTTGTGGCGGACGTGAAGGCGCAACCCCAGAAGTTACCTGCGCAAGCTGCGCGCGGAGCATCTCGTTCATTCGTTCCTCAAACCCTCTCAGCTGCTCCTTCATACAGACACGTTCCGTCAGAAATTCTTCCACACTAGCCTCCAGCTTGCTGTTGCCGTCGTTGTACCCGTGGAGGGCCTCGTCGAGACGAGTCCCCAGTGAGTCGACCATGCGCTGCATGCCTTGGCTGACCTCCCTCGTCTGCTCGAGGATCTCGCTCTGCCGCCGCTCAGCAGCCGAGATAGCGGCATTCAGCTCCTCGCGGACGGCGACCATGACCTCGGCCCGCCTCTCGGCTGCCTTGGTGGGGTCGGTTGCATCCTTCAGCTGCTGCAAGTAGATCTCATGTCGCTCCTTCAGCTCCGTGAAACGCCCGCACAGAGAGGCGTACTTTGGTTGGAACTCCAGCTCGACCCGCATCTTGTACTCTTCGGCGTCGCTGAGCTGCTTGTCCTTCTCCGCCAGCTCCTTGTCGGTCGTCTTCAACTCCTCCTCGAAGAGCTTGACCCTTTTCTCAGCGGCCTGCCTCTTCTCAAACTCGGCAGACAAGTCCCCAGACATCTCGGCCAACTGTTGCCGGTCCCACTCCGACTCCCGCCGGGCAGCGGCCAGCTGCTCGTTGGCGTTTTCGAGCTGCTGGGTCTTCTTGTTAAGCTCGCCCTGTAGGAAAGCCCAAGCACCTTTGGCGCTGTTCGCTTCTTGGCGCAGCGAGCGCAAGGTGCTGAAAAAGTTGGCGTTTGCCTGGGACGCGTTTTGGACTAACGTCTTCGCCACTTCCAAAGCGGTATCCTTTTCCCGCATGGTGCGTTCGAGCTGGGCCCGAAGCTCTTTGTTTTGCCGGGCCAACTCGGCTACCTCCTCGCTCTGCTGCCCTCCGCTGGGCCGTCCGTTGCCATGTTCGTCGGCAGCGAGGTTAGCGGCCGTGGGGGCGCTGCCACTCCCGCTGTCGCGGGTCGGAGAATCATGCTTGTGATCCAATCCCTCACCCGAGTCCTCCGAGCCGATTGACATTGACATGGCATTTTCCAAGTCACTCTGGTCATTGTTAGCACAGAACGCACTGGTTCATCCCCTTCATGAAGTGACGATAAACCAAGCGCGGAAATTTAGCACTGTACATACCACGATCGAGTAGCCTAATGAGGCGGCGTACGACTCGGGATTGGCCATGTCAGGGCGGCGTGCTGAAGTCACAATGGACGAATGGGAAAGAGTGATGGAGGATCACGCTCGTGGTCCTGTGGCCGAGGCGATGAATACTGCTGTGAGCCGCCGTGACTTCCGACAGAATTGATCTTAGGAATTGAGCCTCGGGGTCGGAAATTGGACTGTAGGATAGAGAAGAGTCTGAGGGAGAATGGGAGTAATGAACGACAAAGGTTGGGGGCGAGATGGAAACATGGAGGTATTATAGCTCCTGACGGCTGATTGCGCGTTCAATCGCGTCATGAGTGATAACGGTTTGAGGCCCGGGCACTCCAGTCCACACCAGGCGCAGGACTGATGTCAGCATCCAGTCGAGCAACATGATATTGTCATGACCAGGATTGGAACGGCTCTGGGGGACCACATAGTGTGAGTACGACTCTAGAAAGTTGGCCTGGCACATGAACAGTGCGCTAGTCCGTGGCGAGCCGAGCAGCCCTGTGTCTATACCGGAACAACTCTCCGAGGGACCGTGGGCGCCATGAACTCGTGTGACACCAGCGGCCTAAGAGAGGCCTAGTGCCCAACAATGAGCCAGGACTGCCTCTAAATGGATTGTTCATGGTTAGGCCGATCTAGCCTGTTTGCCGCGCGAATGGGTTACCGGCCGTCAGCGAGCCGGTAATAGGACAGTTCTTCGTCGAGAAGGCTGGAGTCAAGGCTTCTGTTCCGTTTGATCGAAAGTTGCGGGACGGAGACACTGACCTAGAATCACTGATACAGCTGGCAATGTCCGTGCATCTATGTCCTGGACACCTATCAGCTGTGGCTGCTCGCCCTTGAAGTCGCAAGCACGGCTCTGAGCACAGCCCCTTCACCCATCTGTGCATCTTCCGAAGCCGCAGCCACGAGAATGAGAGAATGAAGGTAGCTCTATGACGATCTTGCTGGTGGCTGCCATGGGGTGGTTCCCACTACACGGAGCAAAGACTGCCTTGTGCGTATTCCAAATGCGATTGTGTGGCCTCTACACCTGCAACGCCATATTCCCCGCCTTTTGCACGCCATCCTTAATACCCTCGGCCTCCGCAGCACCACGACGGCCACTCAGTTTCATCTTATCTTTGATCAAGATTTTCTTAAGCTGGACAGGCCGTGATTTTGTTACCGTTCTGCCCTAGAATTTGGATGTGTTGAACAACAAACCTGGTTCATGCGCCTGCCCAAGTTTTTGGTGCTGCCGTTGAGCATGGTGTGGGTGCAGTGGCAGATTACCTCGCTTTGGTGGACGTATAGTTTTGCAGCTCGTTCGACTTGAATGGCTAGCTGTTGAATGATGTGTCAATGCGCTGGTGCGATTGCATTAGATCGTTCAGCGGACTTCTGCCTTCTTTGCCCTGCGGCGGCTGCTGCTGCTCCAGCTTGGAAGCTGGTCGCAGATGGAGGAGAGTTGGGAGGATAAAGTATTCATGCAAGCATCCTGGAGTTTCGTGTAGTTAAAGTACAAGTTCTCTATTCTTGCTTCAACTCGGTCTCCAGATCTTAGATACAATTTAGACACAACGCTTAGTGTCGGCATCGCTGTATTCCAGCCCCTGCAGGCGCCTTTTCAGCTCGATGACGTCGTCGGATAGAGCATTGTCGAGTTTCTCGATAACAGCCGTCATTGTTGTCAATGAACCTGATGGATTGTCAGCCCTGGACTTACCTTAGTGATCGGCATCAGTTGTTTCCATACCTACGAAAACAAGGTACATACGTACCAAATTGCCCTTGGAGACATGCAGATTGGGTTCCCTGGGTGGAACTGGTGTGGTTGAGCAGAAGAAGAAGCAAGCATGTACTCCTGAATTGTCTGAGTTATTGAGACTACGAAAAGCCAGCATGTATGGATGGAATTTATTTCGCCCGGAGGCACGAAGCCTAAAAAGCCAGCATGTTGCTCGCTGAGGCAAGCACACTCACCAGTAGCACACGAGGCAGCACGGCCGGCACAGTTGGTCCTGGCACGGTACTAATGTGGGACCGGCATGCTACTGTAGGTACAGTACCTGGAGAGCTGAGGGAGCCTAGGTATTCGGAAATGGCAGCTGACTGTGGGTCTGGATCGGGGCTCAGCGACCGGACTCCGTCTCTCTCGTGCTGTCTCAAACAGGACATTCGCAACTCCAATTCGGTCCAGCTGCAGCTGATACGGAGCTGTTTCCCACCTTTGTTGGAGTTAACTTGACATCTTAATAAAGATAGTTTTTTACACTCCAGATATTCACTTAGACTATATAGCAGGAATCGCTCCTCTGAACATTTCTACAACCAGCCTGCCCACTGCTTCCGCCCTGTCCCGTATCTTACTTCTAGGTCAACTGCCAGCCAGCCGCCAAACCCATCGGTTGGTTCTGATGATAACTTATTCATCCTATTGTTGCTGCCAATATTCAATGCTACTGTTTCTGTGAATGTCGGGTGCGAATCACCTGACCCTAAACCCTTCGTTTCGAACTTGAACTGAAAAACACGCTGCTGCTCTCATTATCTCCTCGTGCATTCTTGCCACTACAGCTTCGCATCTTGGCACTGCGCCAAACATGACCCTCACCATCCTCAGTACCGGGAAGCTGCGCACTGATTTAACAGGTGAGTCCAATGGCTCCTCATGTAGTTCGCCTCAGATACCCTTCTTCGAATTCGGTGCCTTTTCCACTCTCACACTGCGGTGTGCGTTTGAGCGGCTGACTTGCTCAACCAACTTTTACTGCCTTTCCTGCACATCAACATGGCCCCTCCGACTCATCACCTGTTTCAAATTCCTCCCAATTACCCAGAACCTAGTTTACTTTTCTGTTTTTCCCCCTCATTGAATCTTCCACCTGAGCTAATTTTGCTTTTTACCTCTCAATGCCTTTTGTCACAATCACCTCTCCGATTTGATACGTTACCCACAATCTTTTCGCAGCGTTCCTAACAAATCAAATCATTCAAATTAAATCGAATCAAATCAAGGTAATTCCAGATCAAATCCGCTTGATTTGATTTGACTATTTTTAAAGTATTAGTAAGAGACCCACTTGTCCATAATAGGTATAGAGTTCATGGAACTTCGCCAAGAACTCGGGGAGCCTAGTTCTCGCCGTTAGAAGACCCTTGTAACGGTCTCAGGCAGTATATTGCAACTAGCTGATGACGACTCTACGAGTACACTGAACTTGGAGAAGAAAAGGAGAGACGACAGACTCTGGTAGCTCGCAAGCATACTTATCCTCGTAGGCGCGCTGGTCTGAGCGCGTTGCTAGAAGGTTCGGTGTGCTGTGGGGCGAGTGGGAATAGCCTCATCAGGGGTCTTGGTATTGGCCGAGAGTCGCCGAGGCTCGCACCGGGCCCAGCCCGTTACACCCTGCAAGAGAGTTTAAAGAAGGCGTTTGTGACCAAAACAACAGGTCAGCTCTTCAGGTAGACGTTGCTCAGCTGGCTAGCGGGCGAAAATTTTCTACTCTCAGGAATCGAACACCCGCTCTTCCGCCAACTCCTTTGCCTTCTCAATAAGGATCTTTTATAGGAGCTCCTGCCATATAGCGGCGATACCGTCAGGGCGTGGATGAAGGCTGAGTTCGAGGCTGAGAAAGAGCTGCTGAAAAATGAGCTTGCAAGGTCTCTATACAAGAAGTATCTGACATTCGATCTCTGGACCTCTCCAAATCATTACGCTCTCCTCGGTATCACCGTCCACTTTGTCGACCACTTGCAACAGCTCCAATTTCGCCTCCTAGTGTTCAAACGCATTTTAGGAAGCCACGGGGGCGAGAAGCTCGGTCTGGTCCTACAGGGTATAATTAAGGATTTCGCTCTTTCCGAGGCTGTCGGTTACTTAACCGCCGATAACGCCGATTCGGGTGATTCAGCAGTGAGAGAGCTATTTCAGGCCTCTCTCCCTTATGACGACTTCGTCCCTGACCTCGCACGCCGACGCCGAATTCGCTGTGTTAATCATGAGCTGAACCTCAGCGCGACCGGCTTCCTCGACGGCACGTTTAAGGAAGCGATCAAGAAGCTTCCTCCTCTATCGGAGGAGCATAAGTCACTTCAAGAAGAGAACGATTTCCTCGAAAACTGGCGTTAATCAGGGCCTATTCAGAGGGGCTTTACAACCTGATGGGGTGGATTAGACGAGGCGTACAGCGAAGGGAGCAGTTTCTGCAGCTTACGCGCGGTGAGCTTACGGAAGAAGAGTTCCTCGAATTTGGCCAAGTCTTGTAGGATACTCGTGAGCTTGGTGGCTTGATGGTGAAGCAGGAGAACGATACTAGATGGAATTCGTTTCTCGAGTTCGCAAAAAGGGCGTTTCTGCAAAAAGGGCGTTGCAACTGAAAGATCCGATTGAGATTTTCCAGAGGAGGATGGTCAATAACCTCTGGGATTTAAAGAAGCGCCTTCCTGAAGAATACCTCCTTAGAGACGACGACTGGTCTTTCCTTGGTATTGCTGTTGACGTTCTTGAGCCGGTCTTTCGTCTTACAAAAAGATTTGAGGACAGGGCGCCTCGAATCGCTGAGGTAGCAGCATCTTTGCACTACCTACTCGATCACTTCGCCGGCAGCGAAGTATTTACATTGACAATATCGCAAGTCCTGCGATGGACGGCCCTGACTTCGCTGGCACCTTAATCTTCGTTGGGCATCAGCTACCGGCATACAGCCGATCGCGCCGCCGAATACCCAGTCAGAGATCTTCTCTGACCAACAGCAACGGCAGCGGCGCCAGCCTGGGAAATATAGAGACAGCGCGGACGACCCAGAGATTGCGGGAAACAAAGAGTCAGCTGAGTTCTCCGACCGGCAAAACGTTCGTGCGTCAAGGATCAGTCTTGCTCTTGCCATCTATAAGATCGACAAATATTATTCCTACACCGCTATGCCCTTGGGCTTGCCGGACCTTCAACAACTTACTATACAAAAAACCGCGCCCTCGTGGGCCGGGTGAAAAACCCAAGATCGACAAATACATCGCCACTCTGGAAGACTCGCCTGCTTACTGGGTAGCGATGATCCTGCATCCTGGGCTCAAGAAGCGATGGATTGAGAAGCACCTCTCCGAAGAACACGCTCAGCGTATCATTTAAGGCTTCAAGAAGTTCTTTGACGAAGATTACAACGAGCAGGGCTCTCTATCCCCCCAACAGTCTGTTCAGACTCGACCGAACCACCTCATCGACGAAGACTTCTACGATAAGCCTGAGGATCTCCTCCTAAAGGATGAGATTACTGAATCCTTCTTTCTGCCATTGTTACCTATGACGACCCCCTGGAATGGTGGCGGCGGCATCAGACTTCGTTGCCAAAGTTGGCAAGAATGGCGTTTGATATCCTATCAATACCAGCCACTTCTTGCGAGGTTGAGAGAGTATTCAGCCAATCGGAGTTGACGATATCGACGCAAAGGTGTCGATTGATGGACCAGACAATTGAGCAGCTCGTTTGTTTGAAGTATTGGCTGTCAAAACGTGTATTTTGCAGCAGGGAGATTGCTTGACTGGGAATTGCGATGGCAAGGCGCCACTTGTATTCTAACAATTTGAATAGATTTGACTGTACTCAAATCAAACTCAAATCAAATCAAATTCTTACCCCTGTCCTCTCAAATCAAATTAAATCTGAGCCTGATTTGAATTGATTTGATTCATTAGGAATGCTGACCTCCTCGCGCCTTCTCTCTTTCTTGCTCGCCACTAAAACTGAAAGAAAATGCGAGTCGAGGAGTCAGAACACTTCAAACTCAGTCTAAATTATTATTCCTACACCGCTGTGCCCTTGGGCTTGCCGGACCTTCAACAAACTTACTATACAGGAAAACCGCGCCCTCGTGGGCCGGGTGAAAAACCCATATCGACAATCAAGGAAACGATCAGTGTGCGATCCTGCAAATACAAAGTGGGAAGGCCTCTTGGCCTTCGAAGGAAAGGGTATAAGACTCCGAGCTCCAGCTCCAGCCTCCTGGCCAGACCGTACATCGGCAGTTTCCCCGAGTCCATCAGCCAGTCCAGGATCCTCCCCGTTAGCCGTGCAGCTTTGGGACTAATTCCCTGTAGGACAGAATAAAAGTCCCTTCGCGTTCTGATTTCGGCTCTCTCCCATCTTCGAGTCAACGGTGGGGCCAAGCACCACATCACAAGGTGTTCGACAGTCTCTCGCCCCTCTCCACACTCGCATATAGGCGTCAGTACCTCTGGGACTCAGTCTAAATTCTAACTGCATCACCATTACAGCCGCGACCAACGGCGATCTCCCTCCCAATAATGACGCGGGACTCTGAGAAGCCGCAGCCCCGGTCGATGACTCTTGTACATCTCCCTCCATGCCTCCGCAACCGCATTTACTTTCACATCGGTGTAGCACGCCATGACGGTTGCCCATACACGTACTACTTTGATGGCCACAAGGGTCGGCACAGTGCAAGTGAACTTGACCCGCCTCCTTTGAGCAATTTTGCGGGGCTGTTACTTGCCCGCTGCGCTCTCTATACCGAAGCCGCTACCCTGGTCTTGTCGTCCCACGTTAGCGCCCGACGTCTTGCGTTCTCGTTAGTCTGCAATATCGACTATTAGCATGAATATGCGCTGGAGGCTGGGCAGCTCGCTGTCACTCCCTTCGCCCTCTTCCTACCCTTCGGCCTCAAGGACTACCGTATCCGACTCTGCAAACAAAGAAACCGTCGACTCCAGCGGTTCGCCGAAAGCTCCGTTCTACAAGCTTGTGCTAAGGCCTCGCCCCTCCAAATTGCACTTGCTACAGTACCATCGGCTCTGATAAGCCTGCCGCGTGAGCAACGTCTTCTTATCCTGGAGTATACCAACTTGGTGTACGGAGTATCCATGCTATTGTCTGTACCGCCCGCCTTGTTTGCAGCACGAAGGGGGCTGTCCGCCTCATATCCATTACGGTTGCCACTATGCCAATGCAGCGAGGACCCCAACCCGTGCCGGCTCCCACCGCCCGCAGGTTGTTTCTGCCGCCGCTGACATGTTGCATTCTCCTTCAGCTGCAACTGCTGGGCTCCGCCAACCAGCCTTTATCTCGTCTGCCGGCTCCTGTCCCGCGATGCGCAACTGGTCTTCTTCTCAGGAAACCGTTTGATGGTTCACGACACGACGCCACTCTTGGCCTTGCCACGGATCTCAAACGAACTCCCGGCGTCGGCGATCCCCAGCAACGAGGAGCCCACCCATACAAGCATCTTGCTGCTTCACGTTTCCTCCGAAAGACCGTCCCTATCGACTGCCTAGCCCACATGCGATTTATTGAATCCGTCTTTCCTCCGTACGTGCCGCAGGGCTGGCCCCTACACTTGGCGATGGTGAACTGGCGCGCCACGGTCGATTGGCTGCGTACTGTAGTAAGATCAACGCTGGGGCGCTTACCATACGTATTGTGTTCGCCGACTTCCATAACAGGGATGTTATAGGTCGCCGGAGTTGTCTGAGGGTCAGGGGATGTGCATTGTAAGAGGATACAGGCGCATCAATTATCCTTTCAAAGTTTTGGTGAGGGACGATGCCCTGGCCGGGTGTATGGATGGAATTTATTTCGCCCGGAGGCACGAAGCCTAAAGGGCCTTGGCACGCTAACTACATCCAATTCCTTGACGTTCAACCATCAACTCGTACAAGCCCTCTACTCTCTCCCCTTTTCTCACGCCACCTGTTGCCTCTTGACTTAGTTTAGCAGATCGACTTGGAGGCTGCGTTCTCCAAGTGTTCAGCGTCCTATCTTCAGCAGCTAAAGCGGGATCTGCTGGCTGAGGCTGTGTAGTGTTAGTGGAGTTCCGCTACTGTGATTGTCCCAATCTTCGTTGTTCCTCGTCAAGATCCAATCTCCCTGTCGCCATTGCGTACTTGATCGTTGCCCGGACTGCTTTCATGTCTGGTGACCACATCTTTGGATCCGATGGTGCTTTCCCTCCCAGGTAGAATGAGAGGCTCCCTCGCCTTGCCACTGTGCATTGCAACATGTCCTCCCTCAGAGCTTCCCATCTCACGCATCGCAATAGAAAATGTTCCACGGTTTCCCTCGCTCGGCCGCAAGGACAAAGGTCTGACTCGACCGCTCCGATTCGGCTTAGAAAGCCGTTCAGCCTCGCCATTCCAGTTCGGAGTTGTGGCTGTACGTGCAGGCCGCGTGCCCTTGGCGGTGGACCCGAAACACCATCCATCCGCTTCATGTTCCGTGGGAATGGCAATTGGCTGGCAGAAACGGAGCAACTGCTGACGGAGGACCTCGAGCATCTACCAGGTTGTGAGGCGATTGTCGATTCGCGCAACATACCTGAGTCGAGGGAGAGCGGTTGGCAACGCTGGTTCGATGCAGACACCTACTGACCAAGGTGTTCAGACGTAAGGACAGCCGCGCATCTCATAGAGCTGAGGTAGGGGCGATATGGAGTTCAGTACATAAAGGGAATCTGTTAGAGAACCAATCCAGGGCGATCGATAAGCAAAGGCGGGTCTTGGTCCTTCATCAATCAAGCCGCCCTCCTGTGTCGAAGTCAGTGGAGCCATCTCACTCTCAAAACTTACATTTCCGTGTTCAACCGCTACTTCTCCTACACCAAAGCCCCTACTCTCAGAAACAATGGAGTACAAACCCCAAATCCCCTCCCATCCCAGACTACAGCCCCGCCTCATCATCCACGGTGGCGCAGGAAACATCACCCCCGCAACTCTCAACCCCTCACGCTATGCCGAGTTTCGCGCCGCTCTCTTGACAATCGTATGGACGTCCCTACCGTCTTTAAACCCCGTCCCTACCCTGACTTTATAACCAGGTTTCTAAAACGCACCACTTCATGACCACCCCTTTACCAACCAGCCCAACAACCAAAGCCCTACCCAACGCCCTCACCGTAGCAACGCACGCCATCGGCCTGCTAGAAGACAACTCGCTCTTCAACGCAGGCCACGGCGCCGTCTTCACGCGCGACGGCGTCAACGAGCTCGAAGCGTCCGTCATGGTGTCGCGCGGGTGCGCATACGCCAAGCGCGCCGCGGGCGTGTCCGGGCTGCGGCGCGTGCGGAACCCCGTCCTCCTCGCGCGGGCAATCCTCGAGCGCGGGGACGCCGACCTCGCGCCGCCTCCTTCATGCACAGGACTCTTTGAAGGGGATGGGAAGGAGGGGGTGAGGAAGAGACTGGACGTGCCCTCCGCGCAGGGCCACACGCACATCCACGGTGCGGCGGCGGAGCAGTTGGCGGAGCGGTACGGGCTTGCGATGGTGGACGAGGAATATTTCTGGACGAAAAGGCGGTGGGAGGAGCATGTGAGGGGGTTAGAGAGGGAGAAGGGCGGGAAGGGGGTTGCGGGGTGGTGTGACGACGAGTTTTTGCCGCAAGGGACGGTGGGTGCCGTGGCGCTGGATGAAGAGGGCGTGGTCTGCGTGGCGACGAGCACGGGCGGGCTGACGAATAAGTTGACGGGGAGGATCGGGGATACGCCAACTGTGGGAGCGGGATTCTGGGCCGAGGAATGGAGTGAAAGTGGGGGTCCTGACCTGATGGAGCGGTTGAGGAAGCAGGGGACAGCGGTAGAGTTGGCCGGGACGCTCAAGGGGCTGGTTGCGGATTGCCTGCCTATGCCCTGGATGTATACCCCTTTACTGGTCAACCGGAATCACCACTTGGCGACGACGCGGTCGCTCGCTGTTTCCGGCACTGGAAATGGGGACTCATTTCTTCGAACGGCCGCCGCCAGGACGGTTGGCTCCATCGCGCGGTTTGCCGAAAACTCCTCTGCTGTCGCGCTCACCCGGGTCACCGGGCCGGATGGTGTGCTGCAGCAGAGCGCAGGTGATCGCTGGGGCAGGACAGGCGAAGGCGAGGGCGGCATGATTGGGGTCGAGTGTGTTGTGGTGAGGGACTCCGATGGCAACGTTGTTCAAACTCGGTCCGAGCTTCTTCAAGACTATAATTGCGGCGGTATGTTTCGTGCTTGGGTGGATGACAAAGGCATCGTGTTCGCTCGGGTTTTCAGGGATGATTAAGAGGTGCCGGACTTGTATGCTGTGGAGGCAAGACCGGAGGACCCGCGCGAATGGTGCGGGATCAAGATAGCTTGGGATCAGTGAGCGGTAAGCTAAGATAGCTTGGGATCAGTGAGCGGTAAGCTGCCCTAGATGTGTAAATCTATGGAGAGACTGGACTTCAGATGGATATTAATCTCGCGAATGTGCCCGAAAATGTGTCCGCCCGCTGAGTTGGGCTGCCACTCGCGCGTGGCAAGGCGTAACCAACCGGTTCTATGTTACATGGAACGCCGCCACCAAGATGCTGACCGTCATAAATGCATACAGAAATACACGTCCGGCCGCTGTCGTGGGCCTGGAGGAAAAGAGTTGGGTGTGGCGTGAAATTGTCATACAACAGGCTGCTGGTCGTCTTATGCGAGAACCTTTTCGTTTGATGGGGGTGGTTGAGGGACCTAGCGAAGTCAGCATCACAGAGCCCAAGCTAAAGAAGCAGCCGACAGAAGCCCCCGACTCACCTCCAATTTTGTGGCCCCCGCGAACATCTTCTGGAACCCGATGCCGACACCCTCGATGACGGCGAGCAGGATCGCACAACTAATGGCACCGTTCCTCGCCGCCTTGTATCCGCCTCGGATTGCTAGCGCGCCGCCTGTGAAGAACCCGGCAATCTGTGTCGTGTTAGGAGACGAAGTCATCGCAAGGGGTATTCGAGGGACTTGCAATCGCGTTGTACCTGTTGCGCAATTAGCTTTCCGTCCTGTGCGAAGTACTCGTGGGATGCCGCAGGCTTTGATAGTTCGAGGTAACAATAATAGTCAGAGGGACGGGATGGATGTGGGACACATACGCATCTTCCTTTTTCCTCAGCCCCTTGACGGCGCAGTCAAATGTGCTGAACATGCCACCCCACACACCGAAGTTGCCTCCCAGTACCGGCGCACGCATCTTGATGGCTGTGATGGCGCCTAGCCGTCTCTCCCCGTATGGGCTGTTCCTGAACCCCTTGACGCCGTGCCAGATAGTTCCGCCGACAGCCTGAGTCCATGTTAGCTGACGAGTTGACGTGGCGCGAGTTGGTGTTTGCAGCGGCACCGCAGAGGGTCGGGGTAGAGGGCGAGTATCAGCTGAGAAGACATACACCCATGCAGAACGCACCGCCGAAGTCATTGAGAATGACCCAGGGGCAAGGGTCACGCGTGTGGTCCATCGTGACGTGTGGCTCCTCGGGGAAATGCTCAATCGAGAGGAGGACAAAGTCCCTGTTGCGTCGGCCTGTGGGGTATTATGAATCAAGACGATAAAGGAACGGCAGGAACTGAGATTTATCGATGAAATTCCCCGGTATCGAGGGGATTAGAGGCACCCGTGGTTGTGGTCGATGGAGCGCGTGGGTCGTTATCGGTGATGGTTTGCATCTCGATGATCTCAGAGCCGATGAAAAATGTTCCGCATAGGAATCCTAGCGCGCACGGGCCATTCCCAGCTGAGACCAAGTGAAACAGGAACGGCAAAGAGCTGGACCCACCCGGTCGGACAAGTGGACCGGTTTTCGGAGCATGATAAGGATAACGTTAAGGTCACGGGTGACTCGGGTGCTTCGTATCAAGTCGTTGTGGACCTGCCTGCTTTCCAATTCGCAATACTCTGTAGAGTTTGCAGATTGTCCAAGCTGCCGTTCACTCGTCGGGGCGACGAAACCTGAGGTGGAAGCGCCCAGCCGACTAGCCGCCAAGGGGGCTGGGCAGTTTACCGGGTAACGTTAGGACTCGAGCAATCCGCTCTTCCCGTCTTATTACCTACTAGTTCCGGTACCCGTGTCGCTCCAGCCGCCAGGACAATCACATACCTACAGTAGCAATGCGGTCCGCATTTTGGAGGCCACGCGAGAGATAATACCAGGTGTTGACCCATGATGCTATCCGCCAAGCGATGACTGACGTTCTGCCCCTGGACCCGGAAGTCCAGTGACTAACCCGCGGAGGAAATTGAGGATTGGCTTTGTCTAGGATTGCTTCGTGGCGTCCGTTCTGTCGCCGGCTCGGAACCCACTACCAATGAGGTATATGTACCAGCAATGCGTCGTCTCCCAAGAATTCAGTGCTTCCTTCTGCAGATTCCGTCTTTCTCGACTTCCACGCAAACTTGGACTTCTGCTTGGACTTTCCGAAGAGCGGTGAGATGCTTCCGTCTTTCTTCTTTCGACCCGTGCGCGCTGGGATATGACAGAGTCGGCAATGGCACATCTCACCCCTGATCTGGCGTCATGTCTCTGTTCCGGTGAGATGCCGTGCAACCAGGGAGAATCCGGAGAGCCAAATGTACAAAAACAACACTCCCCCAGTGCTGCAGGCCTCGTGCCACGGAACTTTGTTTGGCGCCTGGGTGGTCAACGACCGACTTGCTCAGACAGCTCAGCGGGCCTGGCCAGGCTGGCCGTTAGCGGCGACATGGCTGTCGGTGTGCCTATCTTTCGCTCTTGTTTCGATCCGTGGGGCCACAGTCAGCAAGAAGAGGCCAACGATGGACAGGACAGTCGTTGCAGAGGATGCACCAAGATCTCCATAGCTAAGGCGGCGGCGGCGAGATCACTCCGGGCTCCCACTGCTAGCGGTGAGTGCAATCCCTACCCATTTTACTTACACGTGCGTCCTCTTCGGCGTGTCTGGCTTTTACATCTTGGAACCCCACGCCATCAACAGGGCCGTCCCGCCTCGGCCCGACCGTACATTCATTGCTGGGTTGCAGTCCCCAGGTTGGGTACTGTACACGGTGCCATCTTGGGAACATTGGTTCTCCGCGTGCATCGTGGGGTGCGTCCCGGCCTCATCTTCCCAGTGGAGTGTGCCGATTGCTCAGGCCTGAAACGTGGGGTACAACCCCTGCCACAACGGGTCTGGAGCTGAGGCGTGGGGTAGGAGCGCCCCCATCGCAGCGCTCTTCCAAATGTTGTCTCGATTCCAAGATGGCTTTTAGTTGCGCCCATCATGGATCGACCTGATTCACAACTCCGAACATAAACCCCAAATTGGGTTTGGCTTTCAGAGTCCGTCGATGATTGCCCGATGCTAACGTTCTCTCAGTCGTATCAGGAACCGACGTCGCGATGACGGGCCTGCAACCCCGCGAGCTTGATGAGGGCAGCTCCGACTCCGGCCACGACCCGACCCCCGACAAGCTTCAGGAGCTGCGGCACGATGGCTCAGTCCTGGCAATCGCGGTCTCTGACCAATACATCTTTGCCGGTACCAGCAAGGGCGAGATCGTCCTATGGTCCCTCGGCACCTACCAGCATGTCCAAACGATCCAGGCGCACAAACGAAGCGTCCTCTGCCTGCTCCTGTCCGAAGACTCCAAGTACCTGTTCTCGAGCGCATGTGAGCCCATCATTGGCGTCTGGTGCCCCAAGACCTTCACCCGTCTCTACGAGATCTACAGCACCTACGATGTCGGCGACGTCTTCAGCGTGGCCTACTCCCCGCAACGGGAGACACTCTATCTCGGCACACAGACACAGGACATCCAATGGGTCAGCTTGAAGGATCCGACAAGGAGGGTGTCCCACGACTCTGCGAATCATCCAGATAAGCGCCAGCACCGCTTCTTCGACTCGCGCGCTGTTGGCGGGACGTCTACACCTAGGCGAACGGAAGAGCACTACGCCCTCATCCCAAAGGCTGCGACCGTGCTGGAGATTGACCCGGGGGCAATCCGTCAGTATGCACACTACGGCTGGGTGTTCTGCATGTTGGTAGCCAAAGGGCCGACAGTGCTCGGCGATCCGGACGAAGAAGTCCTCATATCTGGCGGTGGAGATGGCACGATCAAGCTGTGGCGTCTTTCCGACGATGGTCCGGACTACGATGACGGGGTGCTGGGCGATATCGAGGAAATGATGACCCTCGGCGAGGATGACAGCGAATCCGTGATGTCCCTCGCCGTGGACGGTTCTTTTCTATACGCCGGCAAGCTGCAGGGCATCATCGAGCTGTGGGATCTGGACACGAAGCAGAAGTTGAGGGTGATCAAGGCCCATGACGGGAATGTCAACACGCTTAGGATGAGTTTTGGTCTTCTCTGGAGTGCAGCGACCGGGGGCTCGGCGTCGGTAAGAACATCTCCAGGTTGCCATGTTCGCCGCCTAACGAGGAACAGAAACACAGCACGGTGCACTATGGCAGAGACAAGAACGGCCTCTCCCAAAACGTCAGCCAAAAGTACCAGTGCCTCAGCCGGTGGAAGGCCCACGGCGCCAAGATCCTGTCATCGGCGGTGGCCGTCCACCAAAACGAGCGGCTTTACCTCACAGGAGCCAATGACAACACAGTCCGCGTCTGGCGTGTTAGTGGCATGCCAACACAAGCCGAGCAGGAGGTCGGCGGATCCGAAAACATGATGATTGCATCGCTCCGCGAGTTCGTCTCGTTCAAGACCATTTCATCCCGCCCCGAGTTCACTGAAGATTGCCGCAAGGGTGCCACCTACCTGGGCTCCCTCTTCAAGCGCCTCGGCGCCCAGGTCGAGATGCTCAGTACTGGCGGTCCGCATAATCCCGTCGTGTATGCCAAGTTCAGCGGCAAGCTTGAGCCTGCCGAGAAGCGTAAGCGCATCCTCTTCTACGGTCACTACGACGTCGTGCCAGCGGACATGAAGGGCAATAATTGGCAGACCGACCCCTTCAAGCTGGAAGGTCGCGATGGTTACCTCTACGGCCGTGGAGTCAGCGACAACAAGGGCCCAATTATCGCCGCGCTCTACGCAGTTTCAGACCTGCTGCAAGCCAAAGTCCTTGACTCGGACATTCTCTTCCTCATCGAAGGCGAAGAGGAGTCCGGCTCGCGCGGCTTCCAAGACACCATCCGCATGCACAAGGACCTGGTCGGCCATGTTGACTACGTCCTCTTGGCCAACAGCTACTGGCTCGACGACGAAGTCCCGTGCCTGACGTACGGCCTGCGCGGTGTGCTGCACGCCACAGTGTGCATCGACTCGAAGTACCCGGACCTGCACTCGGGCGTCGACGGCAGCAACATGCTCTCGGAGCCGCTCACCGACCTAACCCTCCTCCTAGCCAAGCTCAAGGACGCCCAAAATCACGTCAAGATCCCGGGCTTCTACGACGGCATCCTCCCGCTCACGCACGAAGAGGACCAGCGCTACGACGACATCGCGCGCATCCTTATCCGCCGCAACCCGGCAAACGGGCCCATCGAGCACCTGAAGCGCAGCCTCATGGCCCGTTGGCGCGAGCCCAACCTCACCATCCATCGGTATAACGTCTCCGGGCCCGACGGCTCACTTATTAGCAGCCACGCCACGGCCAATGTTAGTGTCAGGCTGGTGCCGGGGCAGGAGGTTGAGCAGGTCATTGATGCGCTGAAGAAGTATCTGCGGGACGAATACGAGAAATTTGGCAGCGAGAATACGTTGACGGTCAGGATCGATAACAAGGCCGAGCCGTGGTTGGGCGTGCCCGGGAATTATATCTTTCGGACGCTGGAGGAGGCGGTTGTGCGCGCCTGGGCGCCTGCGGCAGCCGGTGACAGTGCTACTGCTGCTGCTGCGCAGGATGGGGAGGAAGCTGGGGTGTCTGGGGTGGCGATGCCGGCGAATGCGACGGACGGGGAGGAGAAGCCCAAGTGCAGGAAGCCGCTGTATATCCGGGAAGGTGGATCCATTCCGCCGATTCGGTTTCTGGAGAAGGAGTTCAATGCACCCGCTGCGCATCTGCCGTGTGGGCAAGCCAGTGATGCGGCGCATCTGGATAACGAGCGGTTGAGAGTGGTGAACTTGATGAAGAGTAGGGAGATCTTTAGGACAGTGTTTAGGAATTTGTAGGGTGGAGGTGTCTGTGGGAGAGAGTTCGGCGCTCATGGGCTTTTCGAAGGCTACCCTACCTATCTTCGAGACATCCTCTTTCCATCGAAGACAGATGAAGTGACTTGGGTTTCAAGAATTCCATATCAACTGGTACCAGCTCCCGCCCTGGTAAGCAGCTCATGTCCTGATCTATCCACTGCCTATCATCCACATCCCGGTCCCAGGGTGGCAGGCAACATACTCAAAGAGCTGCTGCTCGGGTTCGAGAACCATGACTTCATGAAACACGCGCAGGGTGACATTATTGTTGAGCTTCCTCGCATACTGATGGAACCCACCAAAGATGGCCAGGTGAGTTGGATGCTCTCTGCACCAACGCTCCAGCGAGCCGAGGTCGTCGAAATAGGCCAGCCCAAAAGTGCGGTCGTTGTCGGCTTTTGTTGTGACCGGATCGACGATCTCCATGAAACGGCAGCTGTAGCAACCGACTTGGTCACCTTGGTCTCGCAGGAAATTCATGCCCTTGATCAACACCGGGTGCATCGTGTCGAGGTACAGCTCTCGCTCTGCTGGGGACGTGTCGAGCCAATTCTGTCCGGAACGAATGACGACGAGGTTCTTCTTGCCGGGGATTTTGACTCGACTGCCGATTCCGAATGATGATGGCTCAGGAGAGTCGAAATCTTCTGCGGTGGCCGGCGTGCCGGGGAGGCTGTCGGTCTGAGAAATCGGAAGGCGGTCGCGCATGCTGCCCCAGTAGCCGTGCTCTTGCACCTCTCCGCTCATAGCCTCCCCCATGTGGGCAAAGCCCTCGACCGCATCGGTGGTGTTGAAGAGGGTCTCGATGCGGTCCATGGTCGGGAAGAAGACCTCGAGGAACCATCCGTGCTGGCACGCCTCGGGCTTGAGCGCCTGCCACCACTCCAGGAACCCCGACTTCTCGGCCCAGGCTTCGTAAGCGGCTTTGCTTGGCCAGTAACCCAAAGCTGAGAGGTTGTAGAAGCCTTTGTTGTCGGTAACGGACGCCCACTCGATGAACGAGGGAGGGTTGCTCGGGCATGTCAGGAATGTCGATAACATGGATTGCGCCGCTCCATCGACATCCGCTTCACTTTGATACTGCGCACCGATGATGGCCATTACCAGCTGGGAAGCATGTTCGGGAAACCGCACGCTGTATGCCGGATAAGGGGCCTGAAATCCGGGGCGAAGACTGGCTGGTCGAGTGCGGGCGCAGTGTAGATGGTCTGGTATAGCCGAGGAAACCATCGTACAGAGCTTGGTCTGCCGAGATATGCGGGCATGGGAGATAGCCCAGGGTTCTTCTGGATGTCCTGGGCTTCCCGTCGTATTTATGCTTGAGCACCGGGCCTGACGGACCTTCGAAGAGCCGTATCTTCAGCCATTTCCTCCTCCCTCATGCCTATTCAACCCATATGTGGAATGGAATGCGCCTCAGCCTCCTCCTGAGATAGGCCCAAGAAGTCGGACGAATGGGGACTGGTCCGAACTAGTTTTGGGGCGCGCTTCCCGGGCTCTTGAATTCAAGAACAAAATCTGGGCTCTGTTGGACAGCTTGCCCGATTCGGCGCGCCGAAAGCTAACGTTAGCGTTGGAACGTAGCAACCTAAAAGGAAAGGCGAGTTTCAGTGAGGCAGTGACGGAGTGGGGTTTTCTGACCGCAGGTAACTCCAGTGAGTCGGCGACATCACACAGATTTTGACTGGTTTAGGAGCAGCAGGCACGACGCAGTCATTGTTGAATGCCCGCGGCAATTACTTGATCCATAACAGCTGCACTTTAATGTCGTATTTGAGCTTGGGCTGCAAGGATCTCAAAATATGTACAATACAATACCTGCCGGTTTTAGGAACTGCAGTGGAAGGCACAGACCGGAGCCCCCCAAGTGACTGCATCTATCCTCTGATTAACCGCTCGCTCAACATACGTTTCGTCGCTTTTCACGCTACTTGCCTCGATCTCCGTTACTGACTCACTATGCAGCAATAAACGGTGATCGTGGCAAACTCAACCAGCACTCGGGGTCCTTCGCCGCCACGCGATTCGACCGTGCAGCACAAGAAGGTAGACGACGACGTTCTTGTTGCGGACCAGGGCTTTTCCTGGTACGAGCAGACGACTGGTACCAGTCAGCATCGGCGATGTCTTCCAAGTCCGATAACTACCAGGTTCTCCTAAAGTTTGGGTTTGCACTGCCTCAAGCGCCTGGCTCTGCCGCGATCTGAAGTGAGTAACTGTCGCCTCCGGCCGATCTGAACCGAATCCTCGCTGATTGCGTCCACAGAGATCATGAATATGTCACCCTCAAGGTGTACGAAACTAGCAACCTCCAGTCACGGAACGAAATCAAGGTGCTGCAACACCTCTCATCCATCGCCTCGAATCACCCCGGCCGCAAGCTCGTTCGTTTAGCCCTAGACTCGTTCGAGCTGCAGGGCAGGAATGGCCCTCATGTGTGTATCGTACACGGACCGTTGGGGATGTCGTTGGTAGGACTCTGCGACACACTAGTGGGGGGAAGGGGGGCTTCCGGGGGGGGAGGGGGAAATACCATCGTGAGAGGGTGACTGTACAGCAGTCGAGTGTACTCGTGCATCGCACAGTGTCCTAAAGCCCATCGTTTACGGCATGCGTGCGGGTCTCGACTCCCTTCATCCCAATGTCCACGTCGTTCGTACAGGTAAGCTAGACTAATGTTTCTTGCTGACGGGTTACTATCTGAGTTTCAGACGTGCAAGCGGGCAACATCATCCTCTCGACTGGCGGAGACCCAAGCCTTCCGGACGGAGCGTGGACGCATATTGGTTTCTCCGAATCCCTGCAAGGTGCGCGGAGGGTATGTGATTCACTACAGATTCAGTCGTGCCAGCGTTGGCAGATCGGGCCCATCCCAATCATTTCGGATTTCGGAGACGCTCAGTTCGGCGAGTCGGCGTTCTACGCAGACGTAGTGCCTGACCTCTACCGGGCTCCCGAGTTGCTTCTGGGCATACCGTGGGACAACAAGATTGACATCTGGCCCTTTGGTCTCATGGTAGATACAGTGTCCTGACCCCTGTTTATCGATGCCATGTTTCTGACGAAGAAGCAGATGTGGACTCTTTACGAAGGAGAGAATCTTTTAACAAGAGCCTGCCGAGTCGGAGAGAATCATAGCCCGCACATTTGGCCAGGATGATCTCGCTCCTCGAGCCACCCCCTCTGCATCTGCTTGATCGGGGAAGTTGGGGGGGGGGGGGGGGGGGGGGGGGGGGAGGGGGCGATACGAAGCTGTTCTTTGAGCAGGATGGTAGTGATCGCATGCCCGATCCTTTGTTTGTCTAATCTATCAGGACGCTAACCATCGTCCGGAATCTAGGTACATTCAAACATACGGGCAAACTCTCCGATGCAATATCGGAGACGGAAGAGAAGGTCCTCGGAGGAGAATAGAAAGGAAAGTTTCTGGCCTTCATCAGGAGGATGCTACAATGGCGCCCGGGGGACAGACTGTTTGCTGCAGAGCTGGCCAAAGATCCATGGCTGCGTGATCTCGGGCACGAGGAGCTGCCTTCGAGGTCTCCAACGCCCAGTAATGGTTGATCTGCGGAGGGGAGCGAGTAGGATAGAGCGCGAATTGGTTTGCTTAACCGCAGGAATGGCATTGGAGTTTACTGGGAAAGAGATTATGGATGGATTTCGGAATCACAGTCTTAGACAAGTCGACAACTACTTACGGAGTCTGATGATACCATATTCCAAGACTCATCATCCATCCTCCCCGCACCCTATCTGCGGCCTAACTGTCACAGAAGTCACTCCTGCCGGCACACTTATGTGTTCTGAACATCGTAGCAGGCGCCCTTGTTCTTGTCATGGCAGCAGTCGTAGAAGCCGCCGGTGCGCCAGAACTTGTCCCAGTTGACTTCATCCCCGCCGTGGCTCCAGCGCTTGCGCTTCGAGTCGTAGTCGCCCAGCTTGAGCTTCTTGCCGCAGTCGTACGTCGGCCCGACGCCCGGCGAGTTGTCGCACACGCCGTCGCCCGTGCACCAGTATGTCACGTAGCCGTGGGCCTGGGCGGCCAGGAGGGTGACGGCGGCGGCGGCGAAGGTGAATCTCATCTTGGTTGGCTGGAATGAAAAAGGAATTAGACCAATGAGCAAGGAGCGGTGAAATCGTGAGGGTACCTTATTTAGTGCGAGGTTGACTTGCCTTGGCCCAGCTCGCTCGAGTTCGGAGTTCTCCAGATCGGCTGGATAAAGTAGTCCTGCTGCTTTCTTTGAGGGGATGAGCTAGAAAACGGATCCGGGGACACTACCAACCTCAATCACCCGGATATGTGTATGGCCGTTGTGAGGATGATGCAGAACTGGATGGGAACCGCAGGTTGTTATATTCCATTTCGACCGTCAACTGGTCTACATGATTGGTCAAACAGCATGGAACTTTCGAAAGACACGAGACTCCTCATGTAAGCCCCCTCTCGGGCTTCTTTCAAGTCCGTCTTGCCTGAGCAACTTTTACCCGGCCGATGATACCTTGAGGTCATGACAAGGACCAATCGGCACCAGTTCAACGGCGCAATACACTACACCAGTGCTACCTAGAATCATGAGTGGGCGGTCATCTCGTCCCTCTGCATAACGAAAGTCCTTTGCCGACTAAGTCATTCAACAGGTTCAGGGACCGAGTAAGCGGGTGATCTGAGGCGCCGGATCCCCACCGGGGAAGCAACATCAACCACTTAGCAATCACGAGCATAAACGTTTAAGTCGTATTTCACCGCTTCGCCCTGCCGGATACACCGAGCCAGTTACCATCAGCGTCACATCTGCTGTCCGGTGTCGCGCGATCACCTGCCTCTTTAAGGAAAGCGAGCGGAGAGGTGCCGATCCAGTCCCAATAACACACTCAACGCATCTCTGGAGCGGAACATGACGACGTCGTGTTGAGAGCCTGGGCCTTCCTCGGCAAGGGAGTGCCAGTAATATCCGCATGGCTCGAACTTTGAAGACAACATCACAACAATGCCGTCAAGCAAGACACCTTATTCCAACTTGTCCGAGCTCGGCGTTGGGGTTCCAGGTTGGAATGCCGACCCTGACATTCTCCAGTGGAATGGCAGAGCGCACGGAAGTATGTTCTGAGGCGAGTGGCCTCAATAAACTTGGCGGTTTCTTAAGGTATCTTAGCTCAATCGGTCCTGTCGACTGGGGATCGCACGTACTAACGTGGGTAAGATAGCTGGCAGTTGGCGTTGCCCTGTCGGCAATGCTGCCTCAGATCAACACCTGCGGTCCGGGAGTTGTGATAAGTTACGACAGCTGGTGGGTGCCGTTGTTCTAGTTGGATGCTCAATCACCACTTGTAATCGCCTGCTGCTTTCTATCGCCTTCGGGTTAGACTGAAACATACCTGGGATAAAATTGATCTAGAAATGGCAAACACAAGACTTGTTGGGGATTGGAGCTCCTCATGGTCTCTGTTAAAGCGGCTACTTCATGGATCTGGCACCCAGCACTGCTTGACTCGATAAAATACATTAACGATCATCCAGATTGCAAAGCAGTCATTATGCAGAACCATGCGCGTGGTTAAAATAATGGTCCATTCCAACCCGTTGAAAGCGGGGAATTTGAACACCCGACCAAAAACGGTATTCAATATATCCTGGGAAGCACTCTTATTTTCTCTGCCTTCACAGGCACATGATCAGGTTAGCTCACAACTAGGCCCTTCTAAACATGGCCGGAGAATTCCATCTGATTATTCTTGGAGCTATCTTGTCCTTTTCCATCAGGCTTTGCCGGCTACGGGCTCAGCGCACTCACCCATTATTCGAGCACGAGACGAAGTCACTCACGGACGCCACACTGCACAAGCTCCTTCAGGAAACCGATGTTGCAAATGACGCCCATAATTTTGCATTCGACAACGACAGCAATCTAAACCCAGACCCCGCGGCAAGAAGGGGCTGCAAGGCCTTGCCTGGCGACACAGATTGGCCAGCAGATACAACCTAGAATGCCTTCAACAAGCCTCTGGACGGTGGACTCATTGAAAAGCTGCCCATCGCCGCGCCATGCTACAGAACCGGGGGCTGTAAGACTCTCAGAAATGCACGGTAGTCCGCAGTTCCTACCCTGACCCTTACTTCCAGTAAGTCTCGCCTATGCCAGGAAGCCGATCTTATCATCTTCGTCCGCTCTGGTACACTAACCAACGTAGCGAGAACGATTCGACATCCATTTTCTGGTCGCAGTACCAAGGCAAAACCTGCATGCCCACCGAGGACCCCACAAGCGGCAATTGCACTTGCGGAGGCTATCCTGTATACGCCGTGATGTCAGGAATGTTGGCAGATCCAGCTGGCTGTCAACTTTGCCCGCAATTCTAATCTGTGGCTAGTCATCAAAAACACTGGAAACTGTTATTTGGGCAAGAGCAGCGGCGCCGGTGCGTTAAGAATCTGGACGTACAATCTGAAACACCTCAAGCACTCGTTACCCACATTTGGAAATACCAAGATACTCCGGGCCGCCGATGAAGGTTAGCGCGGGAGTGACTATAAGGGAAGTGTACGCTGAGGCTCACTGAAACGACGTAAGCGCTTTAGGCGGAATTTGCGAGGTTAGTTGAGTCACCACTAGAACCATACTTCTTGTATATTCTAACAGAATATAGACAGTCGGATATATAGGCGGCTACGTAGCCGGGGGAGAGCACACAACTCTCTCCGGGCTGTACGACATGACCGCCGAACACGTCATGGTGCTCGAGGTCGTGACGGCAGATGGGCGCTTCGTTACCGCATCTCCCAAGTCCAACCCCGACCTCTACTGGGCGATGCGCGGCGGCGGTGGCAGAACCGTTGCCGTTGTGACGTTCATTACCATCCGCGTCTACCCCGAACTTCCTGTCGTGACGTCCACCTTGATAATCAGCACTTCCGCCACCGTCACCGCCGACGCTTCTAGCAGGCCATACGTACCTACTTCTCCCTCTTCATTCCCCTCACCGACGCCGGCACCTACTCCTGGTGGAGGCTCACCTACACCGCCCTAACTCCTACACGTTCACCATGCACTCCGTCTTCGCGCCCAACTACACCCTCTCCTCCTTTCACGCCCTTACCAAACCATTCTTCGAGCGCCTTAAGGAACTCAACAACCTCCTACCCCCCGACGCCACCCTCCACCTAGCCTTCTACCCGGCCTACAACGCTACCTGGGGCAGCGACAGACTGTTTAGCAGCACCGGCCGCGTCAGCGTGCCCAGCAACCAGCTGCTCCAGCGCGCCAACTGGGCCGACCCGGCCAAATTCAACGCCACGTTCGTTGTGATCCGCACATACGTCGAGACGAGTCGCCTGTTGATGGGCTATCACCAGGCGCCGTGCAACCGTGCACATGCCGACAACGCGGTCAACTCAGCCTGGCGCGAGGCTGTGTGATTTTTTGATGCTCAGCGGGAGGTTGCCGGAGGGTGCGGACGCGGATAACCCAACTGCGGCGGACTTGAAGGCGGCATCGGAGGATTTGCGGAGGAATATGATTGCACGGTCCAGGGAAAGGGCGCCGGAGAGTGAGGGGGGCGGGGCGTATTTGAATGAGGCGAATACGGACGAGCCGGAGTGGCAGAGCACGTTCTATGGGATGCAGTATAAGAGGTTCCTGGAGATCAAAGAGGAGGCGGGATCCGAGGGAGGTGTTCTATGCCACGACGGCGGTTGGGAGGGAGGGGTGGGGGGTGAGGGATGGCGAGCAGGGGGTGCAGAGGCAGAACGGGCGGTTATGTCGGGTTTGACTGTAAAGACTGGAACGTCGGAACAAAGTAATAGAATGACTGGAAGTCACCGGCCGTCAACATGAAACTTGGCTACCTACATGTACCTTAGGTATCACTGCGGATTTACACACAGGCCTGGTCGTGAAGAACACGAGATCAATTGCTTAACATTAGGTACCTTAGGTAATCATGGTTGTGGACGAGGCCACCAGAACTAAAACCCAATCATCTAAGTTATATATCCAAATGCCTGCAGTGGGCAGAAACCCGGGGAATGTCCTTTGGCCCGGAAAAAAGCGAGCTGATTCACTTCAACAGAGGGCGCAAACAGTGGACTGACCAGCTGGAACTTGCGCAGCCGGGAGGAGGCACCAGCCCGGTGAAGCCCATGGCA